TTCAACCATCGAGGAAACACGTTCGGCCGCTCTGGTTCTTCTTCATTAACAACTGCTGGTTCTGGAATTTCTGAAGGACGACGAATTTGTGGAGGCGGGTTGGCTGCTCCTTCTTCCATATCACTGTCGCAGTCATTGTCTCATTGGCTCTAGTAGCGTATACCACTAGACCAGTGTGGTCCAATCATGCAATCAATGATTTCTTTGCCTTTTGCAGGTTGAGTTGAAGAAGCTGAAGGCGGCGAGATAGTCTTGACAGGCGTGGCTTCATCCAACTTCTCCCGGTTCCTGCTCTTCAAATTCCGACACTCTTCAATATAATGACCTGCTCGTTTGCAGAACTTGTAGAAGCCCTTTCCTCATTCTCTTCTCTGCTCCCGTTGATTTATTGCACCTCTTATGTGCTCCCCTTGACTTGATCCACATGTATAGAAGCTTAACCCACTCTTGGCTTTGCCTCCTTTTGCATTGTACAGGTCCAAAACCTGCAGCTCTACCATTACAGTAGTGCAAAGAGAAGTTTATAAGATGTTCCCTTGGGAACGAAGAAGGGACTTGCACTGCCTCCATTTGGGTCCAAGTCCAGCCAGAAGGATAGTGATGAAGAGCTTGTTGCTGAGGTTTCCTCCGCACTTGCTAAGCTGATCCCGAAGGGTTTTGCACATGTTAATGTAGCTGTCGACTTTTTCCCCCGGAAGCATTTGTATTGCTGTAAGTTGACATAACAGCTTGCTCTATGTAACGGAATCTTGTGCTCGATATAACTTTCGTAGGTAGTCCCAAGCATAGAAGGTTGGACCAAGTGAAGGTTTGAAGCACCGAATTCCCAACTTCTCTTCAGGTGAGAGATTCCGCACATGTAGTGTATAGGCCATAAGCGAATACTTGTGGTAACGCGCCTGTTCTTCGGTCGTTCCTGTCTCTGGATAATGGATTGAACCGTCAAAATATCCCCAGATACCTGAAGATTGCACGAGTTCGAACTCGAATCCCAAGTATGGAAGTCGCGGCCATCAAAGTAAGTTGAGGTCTTCAGCTTGGAGATAGAAAATCTGCTTGATTTACGACAGTTTTTGCAGCAAATGATCGTTCTTCTGCCATTTGATGTTGTTGCTGCTGTGGTTGTTGTTGTTGTTGTGGTTGAGCAGGTCTCCAATGAAAGGCAAAAGACCCAGCAGATTCATCTCCAGGGGCTGAAGGCCCAGCGGCAACATCAACTCTTGCATAACTAGAGTTATCAAGGCTCATAGAGGTTGTAGGATGCGCTGGAGCTTGTTGTTGTTGCTGAGTAGACTGATTAGCCATCAAAGACCAGAAGTAGGAGAATTCGTAGTTGAATTTCCAGTCTTAGCAGTTGACATAATTATAGATCTATGACTTAAAGCGAGAGACTATAATAGTGACCCCCCTTTCTAGTTGGGCCCAACTAGAAACGACCCAACAGTAAATATGTTTTTGGAGGGGCGGGCAGCAGCCCCCATTTTTTACTAAGCCGTAGGCCACGAAATCGAATTGTGCTTGCGACATTTCACAGTGCGACAAATTTTACGACCATAGATTTGCGTGGTTAGCATTTCGACCAATCGGGGCCCAGCCTCTGTTTTGTTGGAGTAGTGAACCCCGGTCTAACTTGAAATTCAAGTTGGGCCCACTTGGTGCATCTTACATGCAGTGGGGGCTGGGCGACAGGTGGCGCACTGCCCACGAAATATGAGAAAAAAAAAATTGTAATAGAAAATTTACAGATTGTGATTCGACTAGAAGAGGAGTTTTGATGCAAAGGAGACAAACTCCTTCATCTATCGACAGGTCTTTCAGACCTGCCATCTAGTCTCATTTGCATTTTTCCGTTCCAACTTGCTCACCCTTCCCTCCCTCGCTTCGATGACTAGCATGGCCTGCTCGCCTTTGTTCCCTTGCCATGTATTTGCCCTATTTAGTGTGCTGTATTATGGAGCTCTGATATGCTATGACGACTGCACTGCACACAAATCTGCTTGATTTAAGACAGCTACTGTAGCACATGGTCTTTCTTCTATCATTTGATGTTGTTGCTTCTGTGGTTGTTGTTGTTGCTGTGGTTGAGCAGGTCTCCCATGAAAGGCAAAAGACCCAGCAGATTTATCTCCAGGGGTTGAAGGCCCAGCGGCAACAGCAGCCTTGCATAACTAGAGTTATCAAGGCTCATAGAAGTTGTAGGATGCTCTGGAGCTTGTTGTTGTTGCTGAGTAGACTGATTTGCCATCAAAGAAGCGAAGTTAGATAGATCGTCAGTAGAAAGACCAGAAGTAGGAGAATTTGTAGTTGAATTTCCAGTCTTAGCGGTTGACATGATTATAGATCTATGACTTAAAGCGAGAGAACTATAATAGTGACCCCCCTTTCTAGTTTGGCCCGACTAGAAACGACCCAACAGTTAATATGCTTTTGGAGGGGCGGGCAGCAGCCCTCGTTTTTTACCAAGCCGTAGGCCACGAAATCGAATTGCGCTTGCGACATTTCGCAGTGCGACAAATTTTACGACCATAGATTTGCGTGGTTAGCATTTCGACCAATCGGGGCCCAGCCTCAGTTTTGTTGGAGTAGTGAACCCGGGTCCAACTTGAAATTCAAGTTGGGCCCACTTGGTGCAGCTTACAGGCAATGGGGGCTGGGCGACAAGTGGATGCGATTTTGCCTGAGCCATTATCCCCACTGTACAGCATGTTTTCCCCGCCAACCAATTAGGTAACCGCATCTTCTTGCCCAGTTTGCCCTGCTTGCATTTCTCGACAGTGTACCCTCTGCCCCGTCGCAATTTTGTCCCTTAGTCGTAAAAACGGACGTCTGGGCCATTTCAAGTTGCACCCACCTTCACTATATTGACCTCTCGCCTTAAGCTTAAGGGCGTAATCGAAATCAGAATCACGTGGAAAAGTGAACCACGTGTTTAGGGTGGCCAGGATCTAGAGTTGGTGGAACCACGAGTAAAAAGTCAGCGGAAGACTTTACACCTTGTATTGGAAATGTCAGAAATGACAAGGATAATAATAAGGAGTAATACTGGCATGTTTATAGTCTAGGAAGTACCTATTCGTAATGTATCTGTTCGTTGTGTAACACGACTATTCGTGTGACATGACTAGTGACTGTTCGTGTGATTGAGAGTGGCGTGACCCTACGGGTCAGGGTCCTCTTTTCAAAAATCCCTTGTCTGAGCCATCAGACAAGAGTTTTGTTTTTTGTCTGAAACATTTGACACTTGTCTGAATGTCATACAAAATCTAAATGTTTGTCTGACATTTAAAATCAGAGCGTAAATTATTAATATGAGAATATCCACTTTCATTTATTTTTTATTAGACATTTGAGATCTTGTTACTCGATGACCTCCGTGTAAGGAATTTTCCATTCCTTACCGAGCGGTACTGCTATCGTGTACGCTCGAACACAGCCAAAGCCTCGGGATGGTTCCGGACCTTTCTGACAGAACCGCCTCGGCTTCTCCAGACCTTCTAGTTCGACCTTCGGGAGTTCTCCGGACCTCACTTCGTCACTTCGAGACCATTCGATCTCTTTCCCGAACCTTCACATCTCATGGTTAGACTAGCTCTGGTTTTCCTATATCTTGGCTTGCCATTCCTTGTATCATCATTTAGTGATTGAACACTTCGTTATTCATTTCCGCGCTACTCTGCTTGTTCATTTCTAACACCTGGTATTCATAGCCACTTTCCTCGCTCACCCGTTTTCGTGAGTTGATTTTTTTTTAGGGGGAGGTAAGACCCTCACGTAAGCTGCAAAGCGGTTGCCCGCGAATTCGACTGATTAATTTGTCCAACTACGATAGCGTTTGCGCTTACCTGAGTACAGGCACACTACGGATTTCCGCTTGCCCCGGCGGAGCATTCACCAAATGGACAAAGCTCAGTTCAACGAGCTTCGAGAGCAGTTCAACGCCATGAACACACGCATGGCTACAGTGCTGTAGGACAATGAGCGACTTCGTGCACAAGTTGCCGAGTTACTCCAGGCGCGAGAGGATTCGCGCCGGAAAACTGCCGCCCAAGAGGAGGTCGCCATCACCGGACGTGTCGAAACCATTTTGGACGAAATTGCACATGAGGTGTCTCAGGAGTGCCAAGACAATGAAGTCGCCGCAGCAGCTGACGTGGCAGCACGAGCAGCAGCCAAAGCAGCAGCAGCCGCCCGGTCAGAAGCAGCCGCTACTGTAACCGCACCGGCATTCGTGCCGATAGTGACGACAACGACAATCAAACCGACAATGCCGCCCCCGTTCAACCCCACAGATAAGAATACTACTATTACGGGGTGGTTTTTTTCGGCATAACTTTATTTTAATGCCGCTGGGATCACTGCTGACAATTTAAAAATTCGGCTGGCTGTATCACTACTGCGTGGACCTGTGCTAAATTGGTGGCGATTTACACTCCAGGAGGGGGAGTTTTTGGCAGGCGACACACAAGGTTCTTTCGGAAACTTTGGGTCTGCTGCCCAAGGGTCAACCGCGATTTTCGGATCGACCAAGATTCGCACGTGGAAGGCGTGGGGTACAGCTCTGCGTGAACGGTTCGAGCCAATATCCGCCTCGGACAATGCACGCACGAAGCTGGACAACTGGCGCCAGTGGAGTTCTGTCCAAGATTATGCAACAGTCTTCATGGCGTTATGCGACCAAATCACCGACATGCATGACTCGGAGAAGAAGGCTCGATTCATTTCGGACCTTAAGCAGGACATTAAATGCGAAGTTCGACTGCGACTACCGCCGACGTTTCACGAAGCAGTCCGGATCTCATACAATTTCGATGCGCATCGGACGTATGCGAGAGCGGGTTCCCTGGAGGGAAATCATTTTCGCGGCCAGGATCCACGGCCCACGATTCACGGCGTAGTGGCAAAGGAGCACATGGAAGATTTTCGCAAGGGACAATGTTTCAACTGCCACCAGCCGGGTCACCAATCTCACGATTGCCCCCGAAAGAAGCAGATAAAGAAGAACGACGAAGGCATGTCGGGAAACGCCAAGCGTCAGTAACGGTCGGGCCCCCTACTGACCCTGCCTCATCACCCGAAAAACACCATCCCCACCGGGTAGTGGTTCCAATACACGCTATCAACCACTTCCGGCTGAATAAGGGGAATGACCTAGTGGACCACTCTGAGCTGGAGAAAGGACGACTCAATGGAAGAAAAAATAAAATATTCATCGACGGAGGTGCGAGTCACAGCCTGATAAATCAGGAGAAAGCACGAAGACTACACTTAGCATTGGAGCGGTGTCTGCTCAAAATAGACGCACGACTGGTGGATGGCACCCCGCTGGAGATACGCAACAGAGTACCTGTCGATCGGATGAAGTGTGGCAAAGATTTCGGTTTCAACGCGCCGATGCTGGCGACAACACTCGACGGCTATGATGTGCACGAGTCAACGCTATGTGCCTCAACCGGGCGGTCAAGAATGGAGCGGATTTATACGCCATCCATCTAACCGAATCAGCGGAGCAAAACGAGGCAACTGGCATCAACAAACTCTGCGCCTCGGTCCTGGATGACTTGGCAAAAATCATTCGGGAATATCCCGAGATTTTCCCGGACGACGTGCCAAGTGGACTGCCAACTGAACGACCCCAAGGCCACAAAATCGAGCTGGAGCGCGGCGCGCAGCCTAGTGTACGAACGCAATGGCGCTTGACTCAGCCCAAGCTACACGAATTGCGGAACCTATTTGACAACCTGCTGGCTAAAGGGTTTATTCGGCCGAGCACGTCCCCGTTCGCTGCGCCGATCCTGTTCACCCCAAAGAAGGACGGCAGACTTCGCATGTGTACGGACTATCGTGCCTTTAATCAGGTAACGCTTAAATCGCGCTTCCCAATCCCACGCACGGACGAGCTGATTGACAACCTTCGCGGAGCTCGCTACTTTTCGAAGATCGACCTTCGTGGAGGTTGCCATCAAATTTGGGTGTTCGCTGACGACTGCCACAAGATCGTGTTTCGTACTCGCTACGGGAGTTACGAATACACGGTGATGCCGTTTAGATTAACGAACGCCCCCTCGACGTTCCAGCTCACCATGAACGGGGTGTTCCGCGATCTACTCGACAAATGTGTGATAATTTACTTGGATGACATCCTAATTTACAGCAAGACCCGGGAGCAACATTTAAAGGACTTGGAAGCGATTTTTCAGTGGCTGCAGCATCATCGGCTCCAAGTGCGAGCTTTTAAAAAAAGAAATGGAGTTCCTAGGGCATGTGATATCCACGGAGGGGATTCAAATAGACCCGAAAAAACTCCGAGCTATTCAGGAGTGGAAACCGCCAACAAATCTGCAGCAGCTGCAATCATCTCCGGGTTTTGTGAATAACGTGCGGCGGTTCATACCCAACAAGGCGGGGTTAACTGGACCTCTAAACGACCTACTACATAAGGGGATTTTTTATGAGTGGGGGGAGAAGCAGCAAGCTGCGTTGAAGGCATTAAAAACTCTTTAAATGTCACCACCAGTACTTCGCATCACTGACCCGGAACGGCCCTTCGAAGTCATCACCGACGCAAGTGACATCTCCATCAGAGCTGTGCTCATGCAAAATTTCAGCAATGGTCTCCAACCAATCACGTACGAGTCTCGGAAAATGCAATCTGCTGAGCGCAACTACCCGGTACACGACAAGGAGATGCTGGCGATTGTCCACGCGCTCAAAATCTGGAGGTGCTACCTGACTGGCGTAGACGTGGCGGTGCGAACCGACCATAAATCTCTACAGTACCTGAGGGCGCAGCCGAACCTCAACCCCCGGCAGATACGCTGGCTGGACTATCTGGAGTCCAACTTCACATAGAAGATCACGTACAAAAAGGGCGTCAACAATATTGCTGACGCCCTCTCCAGACCGTCTGCCCAACTTGCAGCAGTACTAGTCGCCCAGAGCAACCTGCTACTGAGTGGACTATTTACCCACGAGTATTCGACTAACCCCTTCTTTGTAAATGATGGCCATCTCCAAATCACTACACGGAAAGGCGTCTATTAGTTACGAAGCGGGACGGATCGAATTTGGGTCCCAAGTTATTGTCTACTTCGCGAATTACTAATTCAAGAAGTCCACGATTCGAATTTATCGGGACATTTCGGGGTTGATAAAACTCTGAAGGCATTGCAGCAGTTTTATTGCTGGCCAAATATGGTGACGTGTGTGCAACGTTACGTGGCCGCGTGTCCGATCTGCCAACGAATAAAATCATCACATCAGCGATCGACAGGACTGTTGCAGCCCCTTGAGCCACCTCAACGCCCATGGCAACACGTGACGATGGATTTCGTTACAGGCCTGCCGGCCGGATCTAGCGGAAACGACGCAGTCTTGGTTGTCGTCGACCGATTGACGAAAATGGCGCATTTCGCACCATAACGTACAACCATTACAACCAAAGAAACCGCGCGACTGTTCATTTCGACCGTTGTTCGCCTACACGGGATACCAGCAGCAATCATCAGTGATCGAGACCCGAAGTTCACGTCGAAATTTTGGCAAGATACGTGGGCTCGGTGTGGCACGCGCCTACAATTCTTATCCGCTTATCATCCCCAAACGGACTGTCAGACAGAGAGGACAAACCAAACGATGGAGCAGCTGATTCGGGCAAACTGCTCCGACCGAAACACATGGGAGGATGCGCTTCCCATGTTGCAATTCTCCTACAACAACGCGCCCTCAGCTACGACTAATCACTCCCCGTTTTACCTCAATTACGGGATGGACCCCACTGTACTTATCTCCACCAACGTTGAGATTCAAGTACCACGGTCGCAGCAGTTCGTCGAAGAATTACAGACTGCCCGAGACAAAGCTGTCGAACTGATTTGCAAGGCGAACGCTATTGGCCAACGGTATGCGGATTTACATCGACGAGATATTACAATGGCAGCAGGGCAACTAGTCCTTTTGGACACCAAGAACTTGCGGCTACCACTGCCGACAAAATGATGACCATGTTTCTATGGCCCATTCAAGATCATGAAGATGGTGACGCCTGTGTCCGCCCAGTTGGTTTACCTGACGATTGGCGTATTCACAACAAGTTTCACGTGAGCTTTTTGCGACATTTTGTATTTGACACATCGGGCATCGCTCGACAGTGATTGGTCCCGGATGTACGGCCATCAGTAGAGACGACCATCGAGCCTTCGAAGATTTTGAGCCATAGGATTTGTATCGAAGGCCAAGGATGACACGTTAACTTTCTGATACTATGGACCAATCATACCAGTGAGGACGACACGTGGGTGCCCTCGGACCAGATACAGTCGCCTTCGATATTTGTGAATTATTTGGCCCGCAAGCGCGTGACTGATATAGATCACCTTTGCTAAAGGGGGTGGGTGGGTGTAAGGAATTTTCCATTCCTTACTGAGCGGTACTGCTGTCGCGTACGCTCGAACACACCAGAAGCCTCGGGACGGTTCCGGACCCTTCTGACAGAACCGCCTCGGCTTCTCCAGACCTTCTAGTTCGATCTTCGGGAGTTCTCCGGGCCTCGCTTCGTCACTTCGAGACCCTTCAATCCCTTTCCCGAACCTTCACATCTCATGGTTAGACTAGCTCTGGTGTTCCTATATCTTGGCTTGCCATTCCTTGTATCGTCATTCAGTGATTTAGCACTTCGTTATTCATTTCCGCGCTCTACTCTGCTTGTTCATTCATAATACTCCGCTTGCATTCCCCTTAGTCCCAGCACCAATTTTAAGGGCCTATTTCGTCCTCCCGCCAATTTCGAAACCGTATCGCAAAGCTGAAGTGGAAACTGAGGGAGAGTGGTGATCGGTTGGGACACTTCGTTGAAACCAAGTGTCCAGTCACAACACGTGGTGACAACCAATTACTGCATGATGGGGTTATCCGCTGCGGCCCAGATGGAACCCCATATAAGTCGATTTCAGACAAGGTGCAATCATTATCTATAATACAATGATCTTCCTTGTCCACAAAACAAAGAGTTATCTCCTTACCAACACCCCAATTACCAATGACACAGGGTTGACGTCAAGCGGTACTGTTCGGATGACTGTACTGAATGTCGAACAAACCTTCGAATGTCTTCAATATGAGACGAGGCCAACCCCAAGGATTCGAGAGTTGCCGCGTAAAACAAGTTTCTCCCTTGTAACTCTAGCTCGCGAACTCCTTGACGAGGGAAAATTTGAGCGCGTGTGTGAAAATTCACGTTTTCTGTATGGACTGTTGTGCATACTTAGCCCCGTGAGGCAAACCCCTTTGGGTTCCCTCCCAAAAAACACATTTATCACGGTTACAAGCGCATTTCGGGTAACTGGAGAGGCTGGTGTATGAGTACGAACGCTTATGACACGCCCTAATCCCCCCTGCGCCTAGCTTGGTGAAGTCTACATTTTGCCCTGGGCCCTCGAACTTGGTCAGATGCACCTCATCTTGGTTCAAGCTGACCTGAAACCATAGGAAAGTCCTGGTGGGATGGGAACACCTGCTTGCTATGAATGCTGTTTTCCTTGCCACGACTTTCCAAACCCTAGTCTCTGGGAGTGACTGGACTGGACAGGACTGGAGAGGAACACATCATATCGTTTATAATCTCCACGGCACACCGGAGGGCCTTTTCTCTAATCGCCCGTTTTCCTCTGGCCTTAGGCGCAAGACATTCTCCCCCGTCCCTTAGCGCTCACTAGCCGTCGCCGCGCCAGCCGCTGTCGAACCGTCGTTGGTGGTTGCGGCCCGATCCCCAGCAGCGGCGTTTGTCCGAAGCGAGAGGGCGAGCTGTGGGATCTCGCCATGGGAGCAGCCAGCAGCTCCGTGGACGCCGCGGGGATGGTGGGCGAGGAGCGGCGGCTGCACGAAGGGGAGGAGAAAGGGGAGGATGGGGCGGAAGGGGAGGGGGAGGAGGGGGAGGACGACATGGGCGCGCTGTGGCGGCAGTTGAGCCGGTCGGTGCGCATGCGGGTGTCGCGCGGCGACGGGCCCAACCACTGCGATCGCCTGGCGGATGAACAGGCAAGACGCGCGTCTGTAGCCGTGGGGATGCCGACGCGATTGCGAGCGAGGTGCTGGTAGGCGTCGCGTGGCGTCGGGCACTCTAGTCGGGCGCCTGAGTCGTGGCCCCTGGGCGTGCGGGTCTCTCTGGGGCCCTGCTTTCGGGTCGACTGCGAGCGAGAGGAGTGCCGCGCGTTGCGTCCGCTTAATTATACCCGCGCTGTGCCGTAACCGTCTCGCGTCCGCGTCGCATCCGCCTCGTATCTCGCGTTGTCGTCGTCCGGTGTGTGTCGCCAGGGCTGTGCCATGTTTCCGAGTCGTGAGTGCGTCGCTCGCGGGCTGCGTCGGCTTCTCTGCATCTCTGCCTGTCCGCCACGCCCACTCCACGCCCACCGCTCCCACCCCCCTTCATTCCCCGTGCTCCCTTAACCTCCCCGCCGCCGTCCCCCCTCGCGTCCCCTCCCCTCCCCTCCCCCCCCCCCCCCCCTCCAGCTGGTGGACGTGCTGTCTCGCCTCGGCGCACTTGACCTCACGCGCGCGGCCCTCGCCTGCCGCCGCTTCAACCGGCTGTGCCGCCAGGTGCGCTGCGCGCTCGCTGCTCTCTTGGCTCCTCCGCTCTCGCTTTTTTGCTGCTCCTTTGCCGCCCTCGTCCCCTTCAATGCTCTGTGCCGTTCGTCCATGCGTGCGGGCGGGCCGTCAGGTGCGCGTGATTGAAAGCGCGGGCGAGAGCGCTGCGGAGGTGGCGCGGCTGCTGCGCGTGCTGCCGGGCATCCTGGGCACGGCGTCCGTGGTGCGCCTCGTCAGCCCCGACAGCGAGGACGACGCCGCTGCTGAGATCCGCGCCATCCGTGCGTATGGCTTCCGATGCGCGCCCGCTGCTGCTGCTGCTGCTGGCAGTGCGGACAGCTGCAGCAGCGGTAGCAGGGTTGGCAGTGGCGGTGCTGACAGCGAGGGTGTGAGTTGGGGGGAGGTCGTGGGGTTGTGGCAGGGGGAACGGCTGCTGGGGATCGCCTTGCAGGAAGCATCGGTGCTGCATCTCCAGCATCAGCAGCAGCAGCAACAGCAGGGCGTGGGTCTGCTGTGGTAGATAGGGGCGACAGAAACAGGAGTGCAGGATACGTGCGAGTGGGGGGTGAATCTGATGCAGCAGCCACAGGGGTGTTTGCAGCGGACACGGATGAGGCAGGCACGGCAGCAGCAGCAGCAGCTTCTCCCTCATCCCCCCCACAGGCGCACGAGCAAGGAAGCGGGCAGGAGGCGGGGCAGGCAGGGGAGGGCAGGGCAGCGTACGTGTGGGGGGGCTCGGAGCTGTCGTGGGAGAACCTGCCGTGCCGGCACGCAAAGAGCGTGGGCATGTTCCTCTGCCCGTCGCTCACGGCGCTCACCCTGGGCGTGGTGCACGTGCGGCGCCACAGCCTGCCCACCATGGCCGTGCTGCACCTGCTGCCCGACACGTGCCCGCGCCTGCGCACGCTGCACGTCACCTGGAGCTGCCTGCACAAGGAGGAGCTGCTCGCCGGCTTCAGGGGCGCGCACGCCCGCGCGCTGCTGCTGGGGGGCATGCTGCCAGGGGGCGCGGAGGGGCTGCCAGGCCTGGGGCTGAGGGCAGGGGTAGGGCGGGTGGGGGCGGGGGGGGAGGGATGTGGATGGGGGAGGGTGGGGAGGAGGATGGGTATGGGAGGGAGGGAGAGGCTGCTGGTTGGGGAAGACCTAGAGGTGAGGGCGGGTCCTGCACGGCTGTGGGATGATGATGATGATGATGATGATGATGATGGGGATGGGGATGGGGATGGGGATGTTGACGCTGACGCTGACGCTGACGCTGATGCTGACGCTGATGCTGATGCTGACGCTGACGCTGACGCTGACGCTGATGCTGATGCTGATGCTGATGCTGATGCTGATGGTGAGGATGGCGAGGATTCTAGTTTGAGTGGCGGAGAGGGCGGGGAGGAAGACGAGGGGGAGGATTTCGCAGTGGCGTTGGGGCAGGAGGGTGAGAGGGTGGAAGGGGGGGGCGAGGGCGAGGTTGCAGAGGGGGGTGGGGAGGGGAGGGGAGAGGGGGAGGAGGGGGAGGGGGAGGAGGAAGAGGAGGAGGGTATGACGGTCGCTGCTAGTCTGGGGTCAGTCGGTGACAGAGATGGGGAGGGAGGAGAGGAAGGAGGAGAGGAGGGAGGAGGAGAGGATGAGGCGGATGGCATGAGGCAGCATTTGGGGCACAGCAGGAGAGGGCGCACGAGAGGTTGGAGGCAGCAGCAATGGAAAGACATCAGGAGCAGCAGGAGGAGCAGGAGGAGCAGGAGGAGCAGGAGGAGCAGCAGGAGCAGGAGGGTTATTCAAGGGCGGTGGACGTGGATGAGGGCTGTGGTTGGGGTTCAGGTCACAGTGCGGCGTGGACGTTGCTGCGTGCTCTGGCGCCCGAGGCTGCAGCACACGCGCAGCCCGGTGTGCTTGTGACGGGGGGCACGCCCGTGCAGCAGCACAGGCAGCCACAGGGCGAGGGGCTCATGGGAGGGGCAGTTGAGGGAGGAGGGGAGGGGGAAGAGAGGGGAGAAAGAATAGGGTGCTGTGAGGGGTGGGCTGGGAGAGGAGAGAAAGAGAAAAGAGAGAGATAGGGAGTGTCAGTGTGACTGTGAGAGCGAGGGGGAGAGAAGGGGGAGGGAGAGGGGGAGTGAGCAGGAGGGTGAGGAAGGGCCGAGTGGGTTAGGGGTGCGGTTGCAGGATGTGGTGAGGGCAGTGGTGCGAGGTCACCTGGACGCACACACCAGTGCTGATCGCCCTGCCATTGCAGCAGCGGCGGCGGCAGCAGCAGAGGAGGGTGGCGGGGGCGCAGAGGAAGTGCAGGGTGGGTGGTGGAGCGGAGGGGAAAGTGAGGGCATGCCGGGGGCGGACAGGGAGAACGAGCAGGGCACACAAGTCGGCCAGCAAGGGGAAGTTCCTTGCAGCCAGTGCGTGCCAATCAACTGTTGCCGCATCCCTCGGTCGCAAGCCCGGCAGCATCCCATCTCTCTCCTCCTCCTACTACCCGTGCTGCTGCTGCTGATGTTGCTGCTGCGCCTGTTGCTGCTGCACCTGCTGCAGCTGGGGGTGTGGAAGATGGTGGCACGGAGGGGACTTGGGAAGGATGCGCAAGACTAGAGGGGAGAGGGACGTGGGGAGGCTGGGAGGGCGTGTGTGGTGGAGAGTGGGAGTGGATGGACAAGGAAGCAGCAGCATGCATGCGAGGCACAGCTGCCACTGGTGCTTCGTCTGCCTCCGTTGAGCCTTGCGAGCGTGGAGATGCACTGGGTGCGGGGCAGCGGTGTGAGCGCACAGGGCAGTGGTGGTGCTGCTGCCGTGCACATGACGCCTGCCTGTGCGGCAGTGCATGGCCCGCACTGCAATGGGGATGGCGCGTGCCATAGCCGTGCACATGAGGGGGGCACTGCTGCCCACGCTGCTGCCCCCGCTGCTGACCCCACTGCTGCCCATGCTGCGGACCCTCCTGCTGCCCCTGCTGCCCTCCTGCTGCCCGTGCTGCTGACCCTGCTGCCTGTGCTGCTGAGTACGGCCCTAGTGAGATGACAGAGGGAGCAGCAGAGCCCGAAGGAGGGGTTGAGGGGAGAGGGGAGCGAGAGGGATCAGACGAGGACAGGGGAACAGGATGGGAGGGGGAGAGGATGGGATGGGGATGAGCTGACGCCAGGGAGGGGGAAAGGTTGGGCGAAGCACAAGACGTGGAATGGGAGGGTGGGATGGAAGGGGAGGAGCAACAGGAGCAGCAAGGGGAAGAAGCAGATGACGCGATGGCAGCAGCTGCGGCGGCTGCTGTGGTGGCGGCTGCAGCCACTGCGGATGACATCGACGCTCCCGTCGCTGCAGCAGCAGCGGCAGTGGCGGCGGCAGCAGCAGCAGCAGCGGCAACAGCGGCGGCGGCAGAGGAACGGAGCTGGCGCGGCGGCTGGTGGAGCGCAGCCCCACGTCGGTGCTGTACGGGGCGGGCGTCATGACCAGCGCCGTCGAGCGCCTGCTCGCGCGCTGCCCGCACCTGCAGTCTCTGCGCCTGCCGGGCTGCTGGCCACGGGCTGGCAGGGGCACGCGCGGCTGCAGCGGCTGGACGCGACGCTGGTGTTCGAGCTGGGCACGGGCGCACGGGTGCTGCAGCGGTGTGTGAGCGCGTTCCCCGCCCTCACGCACTTGCGCATAGCCACGCAGTTCAACGCGCTGCCGGGGGACGACAGCAGCCTCGCCGACTATGGCGGCGCCACCGCTGTGGTGGCGCCAGCAGAGTATGTGGTGTGGAGGGTGGGAGGAGATGAGATGGTGTAGGATGGGTGGGGTGGGTGGGGTGCAGTGTTGTGGGTGGGGTGGGATGGGTTAAAGTGCGGGCCTGTGGTGATGTATGTATGGTGTTGTGGCGTTTCGCGTCTTCTCCGTGTTCTGACGCTCTTTGCATGCATGGACCCTCGCCTATCAGCAATGCTTGTCAAAAGCTTCTTCTCTCCCCCTCTCTCCCTCTTTCTCTGTCCTTCTTCCTCTTTCTCTCTTCCCCGCTCCCCATCCCCTATTCGAATTCCTCTCCCTC